GGTGTTTCCCATTGCATCCCTCACAGAAAGCAGTTTTTGCTCTATGGGGAGAGAAGGGAAGGGAGCTGTGAAGTGCAAGTTTAGCACATGAGGGAACAGCATTTCCCACAGGGTAGCAGGATAGCGAGCTCTTGGTAAAACTCCCAGCAGTGATAGATCTGATTTCCTATGTCAGCCCTCTATTCTGACCCCTTGCTGAGGAAAGAAGAGGGCTTCCCTTGGCTGGCTTGCCCTCCTGTCATCAAGAAACCAATTTCTACCACCTGGTTTGATGGCTGCGGGCCCAGGACAGATTACCATCTTCACTCTATCCCTATCTTTCTCTCTCTTTCCCTCCTCCTGGAGTCTTCTTTGATCATCTTTCTCCCCTTTACCCTCCTTAATTAAAAAAAAAAAATACAAACACACATGCAAAAATCTCTATTCTGACACATTGTATCTTCCAGACTACACATACATCCTCCATGTTAATTCTTTAGAGGTTAATAGGTTCACTTGCAAAATTTCACTCCTTCTCATCACACTTTTCTTTCCTACTCTGCCATATGTGTCCTAAAATCTGCCTTTCAGTTTGGGACTTGTTAATTTTCCAAGCAAAAATTTAGCTCTGAAGGCTACATCATCACAACATCCTGCACCTAAATCCTCTGAGTATGGGAGAGCATAAAGGAAACTTTGCCTGTTTTCTCTGCCTGTAGTGATGCGGTAAGGATGAAATAGGCTTCTCACACAGACAATTAGGACATTCATTGCTTAGCTCCAATATAAATCAGATTACATGCTCAGGTAGTGGATTACTTGCTTGTGCTAGTTGTGCTCTTCATGTGATCCAGTAAACCAGCCTAGACAGGCCTTCACTGCTGCATGATGCTTTGGATGCAGTCGTATATGTCAAAATGTACCAAAACCTTTTGTTAATGGTGATGTAAGGTCATAAAAGCTTTGACTCTGAAGCCACTGATGTCAACTCATTTTCCTCTCAATTCAGAATTAAAACCAAATATATGTAGATGTGTATGGACTGTATTGTTAGGAAATGCTTGCTTCTTATCTTATAATTTATGAGGCTAAAACAAACCCTGTGTAATTTTAGCAGTTATTGCTTAATGCTCTGGAAGTTCTGTTTCTTATTTATATATCTTTACAATGTAAAAAAGCATATAGCTATAATAGCTGGTACACAAACAGGCTAGAATCTGCTGTTTTACTGATTTCTCCAAGATACAGAATACATGCAGTTATAACACATCTCTACAAGCAGCAGAAGATATACTTATGTGCAATAAAAACACAAGTAAGAGTAAAGAATCCCATAGAGCTTATATATTTGAGAAAAGTATATTTAAAATATATTTTTTTAAAATCAATCCAAGTAATTTTATCAATATAATAAATCAGCACTCATTGGTCTTTGATGGGAATGGACATGTGCATTAGAAGTTTCTTGTAAGTCATGCCAAAAATATGCCAGTCTGATTTGTCAGAGTATGAATGTAAATAAGGCAATATCCCCCACTTCTTTGTTCTGGCTTCATTTTTTCTTAAAATGTAGAAGCATGTGCATATTTTATTTTTTTTCATGGATTTACAATAAAACAATTTTTTTTTTTTATAACACATCACTGAAAAAGATGGTCTGGCTATATATTTTAGCTAATAGCCTTGAGAAGAGAGCTAGGAGCTGGGCCACTGAAGGCAGTGAGAGGACACAGCATCAGCAAGGACTGAGTCATTACTTCCTTCTTTTGGCTAGAGTAAAGGATAGAAACACTTTTTCCTGATGAAATCAGACCACTCAGGTATTTCTGTATAATTACTTAGAAGGTGTTATAGGACTCCACATTGTTCTCTGAAACACTCACATGCAAGCCAGCTCCATGAATTACATCAGTCCAGACTTGTGCTCAACCTGGTAAACTCTACTAAGAGCTGAAATATAGGATTTTATGTTCAGCCTTTTGCTAATTAGGTTGAGCATTTCTTGGCTACAGCTGGTTCAGACCTTGGCCAGAGCAAGCGGCTATCTGCATCTTCTAATGTGGAGATGAAAGGCCAACAAGGGTCTGCACTGCTGGGGGTATGAAATTGTGCAGCTGCGAGGAGACAATTAATCAGCTTCCTGGCAGTGAAAGTTGGAGACACCTTGCTTTTCTATATATTCAGGCAACAAGAATAAGGAATGTTGTGGGTTATGTATCTCTTTTAATGTGATTACTGTTGTGTTATACCAATTTATACAGACTGAAGTCTAGGAATGTCAGTGATTGATTCAAATTATAAAATAAATGAGAGGAAATTGGTGGAATCTGGAGTTATTTAGGGAAGGGCATCCTTAAAACTGTGTTGCAGTGGGAGGTTGGAGACATGAGCATCTGCTCTATGGGCAAATTTAGTTAAAAAAACCTGGTTCCCTTATAGTCAGTGGAGCATACCTATTAAATCTGGGTCTTAGCTCACTTTCTTTCCATGAAGGAATTTCATCTTGTTTGAGCAGAACAGGAATTTTGACAGAGATGCTTGATTAGAATAAATGGAGCATTCCTATCAAATGCAGGGGACTAATGAATCCATTCATAAGCTCCATTAATTTCAATACAGTGCTAAACATGTTAAATGTTATAAGAGAGACGTTGCTGTGTATGTGCACTTTCCAATTTTTTCAATGCTGAATTCTAGCTGATGTTAGGTTATTTTTTGTAGTTTCCATAAAGCATGAGTATAACCAGTGTTTTCATGTTTAGAAAGGTAAATAAGCATCTGTTCTGTAATAAAAAGCAGGAAAAATAATCTAAAAATATATATTTTAGTAGGACTTCCCATTCAAAAGTGGTTTCATTTAGTGCCTTAATTTTCAGAAAAAGTGTTTCAGGCCCATAAAAAAAATCTTTTCCAGTTTTCATCACAGAACAATATTTGCTTTTATACTAATTCTCTTCTCCCTCCCCAATAAGATTTCCATTATATAAGAAAACAACAACAATAAACAGCCTAAATACCAATGTTATAGACATGATGATATATTTTGCATTCCTATTTTATAATGCATCATTTCTATGTATTGACAAGACACACATCATGTCAACAAACACTAATTTAAACTTCACCTATTTTCAAAAATACTGACACTGATAAAATTGGTCCATGGAGTTTTAGGAAATGTAAAATTCAACACAGGTTAAGTAGGTGACAAGCCAAGTGGAAAAGTGTAAGAAAGTTAAAACTGACCACTCTTCCTCCGCTTAGCACCCTTATGAGGGGTGCTAAGTGATTTGGACAATATGTAATCCCATTTAATTCTAGTTAAATAGTGATCTTCTCCTTTCTATAGCCGAACTTTCATACACACCATCTCCATTCTTCTTCACTTCTTACTGAGACTTGCATCTCAGCACAGTGCTTAATAGGAAATCAAATCCTGCTGTAGGTTTTGCAGCTGGGGAGTACAAACAGATTAACAACTCACTCTCTTAATCTCTCTTGCTGGGTCTTGGTCAAGCCAATTAAGGATTGTCTCCATAATAAGGTAGCCACCACAGCTGGGAAAGAAGAGGCTAGAGATCCATTACAACACTTGCACTGTTCAGTGTATATACATCAACATATATAAGGAATCACAGAAAAGCCATGCATTTGCCTTTTATTGGCTTGAAAACATCTAAGTTTGGATGTTTTCATCAAACTCCACCCATCTAATTAAGCTGCTCCAGTGCAGTGGAGTGTAGAAGTTTCTGCTTATGTCTGGTTTGAATATCCCAAGACAGTGCTGTTGTTGTCCCTGGTTGTACACTATAAAGAGTTTTTCTCTACAGATGTTTTACTCCCTTTCAGGTAGCAGTGTGCTACAATTAGGTCTTTCTTGGCCTCATAACCTACATGAAGGGAATCTATCTCCCTCAACCTTTCCTTCAAGGTTTCCTTTAGGTTCCATCTGCTATGATGGCCTGGCTCCTGCTTCTTAGCAGCCATCTTGAAATGTGGAGGGGAACTGTGAACTTTGAGGGGAAACCTGGGCACATTATTCCAGCTGCTTTCTTACCAGCACTGACTAGAGAGGGATAATAATTTTTCTTGATCATTTGGCTCTACACTCTAAATAGCCAGTATTAGATGTAGTTTGTCTGTGATCAGAGTATGCTGTTAGCTCATTTTCAGCTTGGCACCAGCCTCTGGGTCCTTTTCAGCAAGGTGAAATGTCTATAAAGACAGATGCATCCTTTGGGATGAGGGGAATGCAATATTTAAAACCAGTAACTACTGCTTCCTCTTCTCCCTTTCAAGAGAGAAAAAAATCCCTCTGGTGCCTACTTGTGAATGTGTGGTTAGAAACAATGATTTTGTTGAAACCAAGAAACAAATAAAATCTGTTGTTTCAAAATATTGCCAGATAAAGCAGAGTCTCTAAAATCTACTGGTTCACAAATTTTTTAACTATTACTAAAAATAATGTAGGTACTACAAAGTACAAAAACACAAGCCTTAGAAAAATATTTTCACAAAACATTCAAGTACAAAGTTAAAATAGTAAGGCAACCTTCTTTGCTGCTAATACATCAAGTCCTTTATCTGTCTATGTATTGTTACAACAAAAATAAATAGAACATATAAGACAAGTGCTTTCTTTTTTTTTTTTTTTTGCATTGGCTATTAAAAAAAGTCTCTCTTAAAGTTTATCTGATACCATTCCACAGTGGGATAGCGGTTATGTATGAATCTTTTTGTTGAAAGGAATTTGAAATGAACTGTAAACAGAAAACACCCCCCCCCCCCACCTTGATACAAGTGGAATTTTGTTCAGTACCAACTGTTTGTAGCCATTAGATGCTAAGTAGGCAGATTGGAGAGATGTTCTTGGAATCCTGCATAGTATGCAGAACATGCTTTCATTGTGCTTCCTGGCATTAAAAGATAATGTGCCTTATTTGGAAATATGATGATCAGGTCTGTTAAATCATGCTCAATCAGCTTACATAATAACACCTATATTTTGTTATTAATTTCAGATTTCAGAGACCTATGCCTTCCTACCGAGAGAAGCGGTGACACGATTTCTAATGAGCTGCTCAGAGTGCCAGAAAAGAATGCATTTAAACCCAGATGGAGCGGATCATAAAGGTAGTTTTAGTGTCAAATAGTGGGATGTAAAGTAATTTTATTTCTAATACCCATTTATACTTTCTTAGCTTAAGTGAGAGTTCATATAAATTTGGTAGACTGTAACAGTTCAGTAAGTCAGATCATCTCATTTGCTTAAACTGGAAGGTAGTGAATCTTCTGCTTTCACTTAAGGATGGAATGTAATGCCATCTGCACCCTCAATAGAAAGATGATTTTATCTGGAGGAAATAATTTATTTTGCTATGGAAATGTTTGTGTGGGAGCTTAAGCATAAGGAATAGATAGGGTATATGGACTTTAGTCATTTAGGGTAGAAGAGCTCATCAATTTTCAGGGTTTGATCTTGGTTTTCCTTTTTCTTTGGGAGACTTCCATTTGTACAGCCTGCAAGCAATTGCAAATGCAAAAGTTAGAGCAAAATAACATACCAGTCTGATTTTGACTGCAGAATAGCCTCCACAATTAACACATATTGCATAATAACTATTTTTTTTTTCAGATAATGGAAAACCTCCAACTTTGGTGACCAGTATGATTGATTACAACATGCCCATTACTATGGCTTATATGAAACACATGAAGCTGCAGTTACTAAATTCACAGCAAGATGAGGTAAAACCTGAAATCTTTTAAGTTTGGTTTTCTTTTCTTCTGTGTTGCTTTGTACTTTGTCTTTCAGGTAGCTAGGAAACTGAAGTGAAGATGATTGTCGATCCCATCTTTATAATTTTGTTGCTAAAACAGTCAGTCTGAACCAAGGCAAGGTTGATTTTAAGCAATCAGACTGAGAGAAAATACCATGACTTATGGCTCTTCTGTGACTAGGGGTAGTGAATGTACTTTGAATTGCCTGAAGGTGCTCTTTCACTGGCCAGTGGAAAGGGTGATGTGGGCAGCATGTTCTCTTGAGACTTAGTTCTGTGCCCAGCAGTGACTTCCATTGTCTGCTTTTAGAAACCATTCTATCAAGAACTGGAGTGACTGCCATGGTGTTCTCAAGGCTAGCAAACATAATACAGTACATGGTACTGACAGTGATGAAATTCTTGGCAACATCAGTTGAAAACTTTAGGGCAAAAAGCTTAATGATAAGAGCAGGAGTTGCTTTTGAATTTTTGAATAAAAAGGCAGAAAAAAAGAAGGAGAAGTAGACTGAGAATCAAGCTTCTTCATAAAAATTTGGGCTGGATTGTATTTATTTCTTCTCAAAGGTTGTTTGCTTTCTCTGATTTATTCAGAATTTTCCCAGAGCTTAAGAAGTGCTCCATCAATTCACAGGCCCATACCAAATTATTTATAGTAACCTCATTTTGCTAGAAGTTTGTTCATTTACCATTTAAGCTGCCAAATGGAAGCTCAGCTATCTGCCAGCAAAAAAACAGTTCTGTGTTCTATGTCTTTCTATCCAACTACAAGATATTTTTTAATAAAGAAAGCCTTCAAAAACAACTTTAACAGTTGGATTATGTCAAGACCCTGATTGACTTCTGACTTGTGCAGAGTCAGCCACGTTTGTTTTCCCAATAAGTAGATATGGGCTATTGCTGGAGATTTCATGAATTATTCAACACTTCCTAGATGGGGATTTCACAACTCTTCTAGAAATAACAGGATCCCTGTTTCAGTTTGGCCTTTTTTTTTTTTTTTTTTTTTTTTTTTAGATTGCAGAGGGTGTAGGGAGAGATCCCCAACTCAATGTTTGTAATGCATAAATACAGCCTGGTCATTTTTATCTTCCATTGAGCCTTCTGATTTTTTGAGGGATCTGGAAGTCGAGTTTGAACTAGCAGGAGAGAAGAGGCTTTATTCTGCAGTAGCCTTAGAATTAAAGGACTCCTTGGTTTCTACACCTTTTCCCTTTGAGAATTACTACTTCCACAACAGTGTCAGGCACTCATGCTGGATCCCATGCCACAGATCTTCAGTAGCCTGAATATTTTGGTGTAGTCTTTCTGGTCTGATGATTGACATTTTTGTTAATCCAGTTTTTCATCTAGACAAGCCAGTGGCAATGATATGGAGGCAGCAGGACTTTCCTTGGTATTTCCCTGCCCAGCTTGGTTTTGTAGCTCTGTTGTTACTGTATATGAAATGCCTGCAGCAGTGGATTTATGAAAGTAATTTCTTATATGTTTTAGTAATAATAATTTTTTTAGGGTAGAGTGGGCACAAGGAAAGTTTTGGATTTATGAAAGTAATTTTTTTGTATGTTTTAGTAATAATAACTTTTCAGGACAGAGTGGGCAAAAGAAAGTACTCAAAATAATCCTTATGTCTCTTCTCAAATCATGGTTTTGCCAAGGTTCTTTTCCCCCCGGACTGTACATTTTTTTGGACCTGTGAACAAAATGACAGGGCAAATTTTGTAGTACAAAGGAGCAAGACATCTGGTTCAAACTATTTCATGAACTTAAAAAACAGGCTTGGGTTTGTAGGAAAGATTTAACCAATCATATATGTATTCTGGTGTGGAACTGAGACAGGAGTAAACTTGGATCCCACTGCTACCTAGCACAATGACTGAAAATCTCCTAATTCTCTCATCTTGAATTCCACATTTTTAAGCTGAGACCATTGATAAGAGGGAAAAAGACTTCATCTAAAAGGAGAACTCAGCACTGTGTGGAAATTTAGAGCTGTGCTGCAGCTCCCATAAAGATGCCAGTGGTTCTCAGTTTTTGTTCCCATGTCCATGTGTCCATGCAGATTCAGACAGAGGTTTACACAGATAGAGGGTTGCACAGTTTGGGAAGTGAAGTGTAAGCATTCTGCAGTGCTGTAGGCAAACAGAGGCTGCCTTAGTGTGTTGTTTTATAACTGTGCAAGTGTCAGCCAGAGCCCCCTTTCTGTGACCCATCAAATTGCCTAACCTCAGAACTGCAATATGTGAGCTGCTGCTTGCTGGGTCCTGCAGGATTCGCTGAGAATTAACCCTGCGTTTCAACAGAGACACAGCAATCCAGAAGGTCTGGGGGAGTTTGTTTTCTTATCTTGCTCTTTGAGCAAGCAGAGTGCATTTTCCCTAAACCTCAGACCCAACTGGAGTGTGCCCTGGCCCTGTCTGTCTGGGGCAGGAGGCTGGTGGGTGCCAGGACTCATCTGTGAGGGCAGTGTTTGGGTGTTTGCTGCTGCTGTGACTGGGCTGCTCCTACCTTATGTAGGCAAGACAGACAGGTGCCTGTTAGAGAAGCCCTCACTCTTCCATTTGTTTTTTTACAAATCCCTGGGAACAAGGTATGTTTATTTCCTTATTTGTCATTGTCCTGCTGTGGCAGTGCAGAACATCTTCACCTTGTGTGTTGTCCCACTCTTGCTCCTACAAACTGGCATTTGCAGTATTTTATCCTAATTTAACATGAGTCATTATTGCAGGGAAATTGCTTTCTGAAAACAAGAGAAATGTCCATACAAACTGGAAACATTGCTGAGACCCACGGGAGGACCTGATTTAAGAGTCGAACACTCAGAAAAAAGCAAGCAGCTATATTAATACCTGTAATATCCACTTCACAACAAGTACACAGTAAATCATATTCTAGACATTGCTATTTTTCTAGGTCAGTTCTGGTGAACAACTTAAAAAAATAGTCAGAATCCTGTCTTGTCCTGTTTTGATTAAAAAATGTAAATAAAAATGAATTGGAAAAATATTTCAAACATTTTCAGGGTATTTTAATTTACAAATCTATTTGCCATATTTTCCTCTCAGTTCTGTCAAGTACCTTTCTTAACAGTGGTAACCATCTCAGAAAAGCTGTTACTGAAAATATATTGCCTTAGGTTTGTACATTGCCTCAGCCATTTCCAGAGCAAGACTTGTGGATACTTAATTTCTAATCCCTAAGTGGATGTGTGAACTTCAGTGGGACTGAAGCAACTGAAGTCAAATATGTATTTGTATATTTTCTGGACTATATCTAAAACTGTTTTCTTTTATAAATGGGAATAATGATCAGGACTTTATTTGTTGCCCTTTTTAACATCCCTGTTAAATGCTCTGTAACTGGACTTGATGGATAAATCATATTAAAGATGTACAATGTAGAATAAATTTGCAGTTGTTCTCCTGTGATTATATTACTTTTTTTTGCCACTGACTGTCACGACCATGCTCAGAACTTTTATAGACTTTCACATTTTCATGGATGCTTCTTTAAACAGACTGTAAGTATGACATCATGTCAAGGGAATTTGACCATGGATTCTTACCAGGTCAGGTTGCCATTTGGAAATATCTTCCTGTGAGTCTTTGTGGTTTAACCCCAGCCAGCAACTAAGAACCATGTAGTGGCTTGCTCACTCCTCTACTCACTCTGGTAGGATGGGAGAGAAAATCAGAAAAAAAGTAAAAACCCAGGGGTTGAGGTGAGAAGAGTTTAATAATTTAAACAAAGTAAAATAAGTACTACTACTGCCACTACTGCTACTACTAATTGTAATGAAAGGAGAGAGAGAGAAGGAGGAATAAAAACCAAGAAAGACATGTGATGCCAAATAAAATTCCTCACCACCCACTGAATGATGCCCAACCCTCTGGTCAACTCCTCCCAGTTTATGTACTGGGAATAATGCTCTATGGTATGGAATATCCCTTCGGCCAGTTCAGGTCAGCTGTCCTGGCCATGCTCCCTCCTGGCTTCTTGTGCACCTGCTCGCTGGCAGAGCATGAGACCTGAAAAGCCCTTGATTTAGAGTAAGCACTTCTTAGCAACAACCAAAACATCAGTGTGTTATCAACAATATTCCCACACTGAATCCAAGCACAGCACTGTACCAGCTATTAGGAAGAAAAGTAACTATCCCAGCCCAAACCAGGACAGGGGTCATTCACAGGGTTACTGCCTTCCATGTGGGAAAGGTAAAGGATTCAGGCAGGGAATATACGGAGGTCTCCTCAGTCAAATTTGAATAACAAGGGCTTGGTATGGGGTCTCTAATTACCAATTCTTTTCTGGAATATACTATGGAACTACTATGTAATATCCTCATAGTTGAACAAATTACATTCGTCAGTTTATCATGTCACATAAATGCTGTATTTTCCTCCTTCCTCTTGATATCCTCTGCTTGTTTTCTTATATACAAAAATGTTTAGCCTGATTACACTCCACACCAGGTTTGAGTGAAACAAATGGGAAGAGAAGGAACTGCACATATAATGTGAACAGTGCACCATGTTTTCTGACATGCCTCTTTCTACTTGCAGGATGAGAGTTCTATAGAAAGTGATGAGTTTGATATGAGCGACTCAACTAGAATGTCAGCTGTAAACTCTGACCTCAGCTCAAATCTGGAGGAGAGAATGCAAAGTCCTCAGAACCTCCAGGGCCAGCAGGATGGTAAGGCTCTCATTTTGTACAGAAAATGTGCCATTGCCTTGTCTTTTTTCCCAGTCTGTGCTTTCATTTAGAATTTGCTTTTCTTCATAGTGTGTTTCATTAGGTAATTTGAAATACATGTTCCCTTTATCTCAGCATGAAGAAGAAGAAATTAGGGGTTTGGGTGTGGGTTTTGTTTTTTGTTTTTTTTTTTTTTTTCAGGTTAATTTATTTGTTGCTTAGGCAACAGGTGAGTGCTTAGACAACTATATGTTAAGTAGCATTATCTTACTGTTTATATATATATATGTATCTGTAGTGTGACCCTGCAGAGGAATAAAAGGAAATGAAACTCAAACCTTTCTGAGGCAACCTAGAAACTGAGAAAGTAGTTTTTACAAGGAGGGAGAATAATGTCACAGAAGCTGGTTATTTGGGAGATAGGAACTGAAATGTGATATTCTGAAGAAAAGATGAAAAAAACAGATTCCTATGGAGAAATAGAGGCAAAAGATGAGAAAATAGCAAGCAGCATTGTACATTTGAATGTTAATTGTTTCTTTTTTGCAACACAAATCTACTTTCTGGTCAGAGATAAAACTGATTTACTTGGCCTTGAAGGTGCATAGGTATGTAGTCTTTGGATTCTGCCCTTGTTATATAGCAAGTTAAATGAGTCTAGTTTGAAATGAACTTTCTTCTGGATTTCAGAGCTCACAAATAGCCTCTCTCCTACAGACTGTGACAGTGGCTCAGGAGTGGCACATGAATTCATAACACCCAAAGTACAGGTCTATTCTATTGCCATTAGAAACAACACATTGGAATTCTGTACTTGCTGCTTGGCAATTTCCTGATCATATGTGCCAAATCAGAAATGCTTTTTTATATTTCTCTTGAACACTAAATATATGGGATTTGACAGCAAGCCTGAATGCTTTGCACTTCATGTATCGTGGTCAGTTGCTAGCTGGTAAGATATTTAGGTACAATTGGGTGTGGTGAATAGTGGCTGATAGGAGCTGGTGATGGGTTGAATCTTCAGCTGGGTTGCTCTCCAAACAAAGGAAGGAGTAGGATGTCTGTAATAATTTGATAGGCCAGATTCTAACCACAAATACCTTTTGTCTGAGTGTCCTCAAGCTGTCACAATTTTTTTTGTTGTTTTTTTTTAACTTTTAACTAATTTCTGTCTACATATGTTCACTAAAGGAGCAGTTCTGATGCACATGATGTATGAAAAGATAGTTCACTTTTCTGTTGAAGTTTGACTTTTCACAGGGATAATATAGTAACACTGATAACTTAGATGTTTCAAGGATACTTAGGAAGGTGATTTTTTAAAGTATCTGACTTTCACTGCAATACTATGCTGTAGAAGTTTCACATATATAGTTTAATAATAATAAGTGCATGCATGCTTATTTTTGAAATAAAAATTATAGCTCAGTACAGTAACCTGTGAAGAAATGCCTGTCATACATATCTTAACACCTGCTGCAACCAGATTCATGTGCCACATGTAATCATATTAGACCCTAAGTATGAATGATAAAATGCTGCAAATCTGTCACTTGCTATTTTAAATGTATGGGAAGTAAATCCATTGTGGTCTTTGAACTTCAGACAGTGTGATCTCACAGTATGGCTTTAAATCTCACCGCTTTCCTTCCCTTCCTCCCAGATGGTACTTGCTCACCTTCCTAAGGCAATCCTATTTTTGCTGTGTCTTCTGGCTAAAACATCTGCAGACAGAGAGAATTGAAATAGTCTCTCTTCCTGCTTCATTGTTTCCTTTGCTAGCTGTTGTCAGGTAGCTAACCTAAGTGTGGCTAGTTATGGCAACACTGCTGTTTCAGATGTGGGAGATGGGGCTGAAGGAGGAGCAGAAAGACATGAGAGAAGGTAGGGGATGAAGAAGGAGAGGAGAAGGCAGGAAAAAAAGAAGATTGGAAGAAAATAATATGAGATGTAGAGGAAGTTGGAACAGGAGGGAGGGAAAATAAAAAGGGAACTTAAATGAATTTAGCAGTACAATCCCTTCTGCTGTCATAGGCTGCATTGTAAAATTTTACAAATTTAATCCTTAGTTATAGAGCACGTGCACTGAAATCATGACCAGAGCATGAATCTGTGTCAAAAGTGATTCTTGCTCCCTTCCCTCAAACATTCTGTATGTCTATGAAAGTTTATGTCAGCCACCACATTCAGCCTATAGATAAAGACACTTGACATTTGCCTCATCTGAAATGTGTTTGCTACATCCTGGCAGGTGAAAATTTGCTGTTGCATAAGGTCGCCTGTGCACATGCAGTTTGAAATGATGGGGTGGAATAGGACAGCACAGGTCTTCTGCTGCCTCAAGCATGCTCTCTTTGGGAGAATAACTTTTTAATGGGAATCATTAGGAAAACTGCTGCCTGGGGTGGAATAAGGACAGCTCCAGTATACCTAAAGGTGATGTGTTTAATCACTTTACTTACTTGGGTTTCCATGTGAAGTAGCATGTGAATATTTTGGGACATCCCCTGCTTTTTGGTTTTTTTTTTTTTTTTTTTTCCTATGTATTTAAATTGATATGGTACTAGAATATAAACAGTCTGTGTGCCCTAGAGGAATATAATAGTGAGCTGGGCCATGCTACTGAGGGATAGATGGAGGCTTCTTTTCCAGTTCAGTTTATCAGAGCATCAGAATGTTGACACTGTCTACGTAAAAGAAATATGATGCTTTCATAGCTTCATCCCTTGGGGTTGTATTTGCATCCTATTTAGACAGGCATTTTTCTTTGGGAGTCCATTACAGAGCTCATACTAGAAAATTTGACCTGAGGTTTCTCAGTGTGTTCCAGCCCAATACTGTGTCCTGTTTCTCATGGTTAGGTTGCTGGAACCTAAATAGAATAAAGGCAAGTATGAGAGCAACTCACAGTATCAGCTGAAAGCAATATAATTCTACTGCCAGAAGTGCCATGGGTGGTGAGAAAAATGCTGAGGAGGAAGGGCACAGAGACAGAAGGTGCATATTCACCCAGAGTAGATGGTGCTGGTACTGCACAAAAGCCCTGGGCTCTGCAAGTGGACCAAGACTTCATAATAGCTGTACTAAGCTAATTGGGTGGAAAGGGTACAGGGAATTAAGGAAGTAATGAAAAGAGTGGAGGGTTGGTGAATTGTATCCACGGTACTGAAGTTGCTGCAATACTACTAAGGACAGTTCCCACTTTAAAATAGCCTTTGTACACTTTTAAATAACAGGGTCTTGAGTCACACCTGCTGGTGAATGGCTGAATATCCTGAGCACCTGCAGGTCTGCTGCAACGGTGGGGTAAGAGTTGGAAAAGGGCTGCTGCTCTTCCCTGGGGAGATGGAAAAGGAAAGGAGCTCTAAGTTACGATTTGTTCATTCCCCAGCTGGGAATGGGGTGTGGCTCTCTGCTTACCAGTGCCTTAGGGGTGTTCTCTAGCAGCCAGCTGGATAATAGAGCTGCAAATTGCTCATGTGTTCCTTTCTATTTTGCTTGCCTCTTGCTTGCCCCTGTTTTCTTGCTTCCTTAGACATGACATAGTTCTGTGTCCTAAGCTGGTTCTTTGGAGTGAGCCCTATGTGTAACTCATCTGCAGGCAAAGCTCCAACTTGAGATCTGTCTTTAATTCTCCTTTCTCTTAATAATGCTCTTGGGGCCCTGATGTTGCTGGATCAAAACCTTTTGCCCATCTCAGGCCACAGATAGCAGGCAAGGTTCGTGAACGGAGCTGGAAATAAAGGAACTTTTTTTTTCTTTTTCTTTTTTTTTTTTTTAAGTTAGTGGTTCAATCTGCTTAAAAAAAATGATTTTTGTAGTGAAAAGTGACCTCTAGATAGGCCTTCAAAGGAGCAGCAACAGCTTCTACCCTGAGTGAAAATAGGACTTTTGTTGCCCTTGCCTGTTAGCTTGAGCCCTGTGCAGAGCAGCTGGGTGTGTTTCCATCCTTAGCGTGGTAGTGCATTAGTTACCAAGACATATATAGGGGGATGCTCTGATTAGAGGAAGTTAAGAGCATGTAGAACCCTAGAAGTGAGGAGAATTAAATATAAATTTGACATTGCATTTTTTCTTGTTTGTTTTTTACTATGTGAGCTATCAAGTAAAAGTTAGGGATTAGTCTGTTTGACTGTAACTAAAACTGAAAGATGCAGGATTGATTTATTTTCAGTATTTCTCACTGTACTGATATATACCAAAACATATATATATATATATACATATATACATATAAATACACATACAACTACCTCTCACAGGCACTGTGTGGAGACATATGGGAGTTTACAGGAGCTAACCATGACAAAACATGTCAGAAGTCAACCTTTGCAGGGGTTGTGCTGCCCATTTAGATGTAGAGATTAATAGGCTTTTCCTGGTTGTAATTTTTCCAATTTATAGAAAACCGAGCAATAATATTTTAATGCAATAGAGGATTATGTCTTCGAGTAGTTTGTAATCACTTGGATGGTGTCAGTTCTCTTTCCTTGGCATGTTCAAATTGCCACATTTTACACAATATAGAAGTAGGAAACCTGACTCTTAACATTAACTATTCTTTTCACTCATCTGTGTTTGTGACAGATGCAAGTATTGGAGTCAGCCACCTAAATACCTGTTTTCTGCATCAAAGCTATAATCTCTACACAATGGCTTCACTTGAAATAAGTAACATTAGCTGATTAAGTTGTCAAAACTGACTGTCTGTGCAAGAGTGCAGACTTGCTGTTGATTTTTCTCTCTGAACGAAGTCCAAATCAAGAGTTTATCCATCTTCTCATTCAGAACTTGTTGTGCTGTTGCACTTCTTTCTGCTTTTGTCTTTATTCCACTGAAACCTGGGCTCTCTGTCTTGAAACATTGACTTTTTTTTCTTCTAAAGCAATTCAAGTTCAAGATATATGAGTCCCAGCACCAACTGCAGGCCAAAGTGAATACAGATTGGTGAAAGAGCATAATGGAGTAAATTGTCTCCGCTGTTGACAATGTATTGGCCC